CAGTATAATAAACAGAGAAAGGTAAAGATATTTGAACGAATAGATGTAGGTCCGTGTGTAGAAGTGAGTGTAAGATGGAAAGAAAGACGGGGGAGATGGAGAGCAGAGGGAAAGAAAAACAAACTGGTAACTGCATGAGTCCTTGTGGCAGGCGAGCTATAAATACTCGGAAGAAGGTGGAGAGCAATACAGTTCATTTTCTTCCTCCTCGTCTGCAACAACAAAGCCAAATCATAATGGCTCTGAGTGCTCTGGTAAGCCCTTTTTATTGATAACGTTTTTGATTGCACTGGAATTAAGTGAAATGGTATATGTACGGAGTATTATCAGATCTCTAATAGATTTTTAAGAAATGTCTGATATTCTAATGACATGTATGTGCATATAGTTTTTTTTTTCATCTTTTTGATAGAAATTATATATCTATACATATAATAGATATCCATCTTAATATGCGAATAAGATTAATAAGATTACATATACCGTATTTTGATGATTATATAAACAAATATGAGCGTTCACGTACTACAAAATTAAAACAGCTGCCATGTGGTTGGCCTTACCTGATGTATCCCCGACAAATGTTCCAAATTTTACCACTTCCTTCCATGCTTTCCTGTAGATGAAGTCAGCCGTTGTGCTGGGAGTGATGTACGGAGCTGTGGCTGACGGAGGCTACGGCTCTCACGGAGGAGGTTTTGGAGGTGGTGTTTCCGGAGGCTTCGGAGGAAGCCACAGCAGCGTTGGAGGAGGCCTCGGCGGAGGCAGCTTCATCGGAGGAGGCGGAGGCCACGGCGGCTACGGTGGAGGCGTTGGCGGCGGCAGCGTCGTCCGAGCACGTCTGGTCGGAGTCGGCGTCCTCCCCTCGGTCGGAGGCAGCTACGGCGGCGGTGCCGTCGGAGGCCACGGCGGAGGCGCTGGAGGCTTCATCGGAGGAGGCGGAGGCCACGGCGGCTACGGTGGAGGCGTTGGCGGCGGCAGCGTCGTCCGAGCACGTCTGGTCGGAGTCGGCGTCCTCCCCTCGGTCGGAGGCGGCTACGGCGGCGGTGCCGCCGGAGGCCACGGCGGCTACGGTGGAGGCGTTGGCGGCGGCAGCGTCGTCCGAGCACGTCTGGTCGGAGTCGGCGTCCTCCCCTCGGTCGGAGGCGGCTACGGCGGCGGTGCCGCCGGAGGCCACGGCGGCTACGGTGGAGGCGTTGGCGGCGGCAGCGTCGTCCGAGCACGTCTGGTCGGAGTCGGCGTCCTCCCCTCGGTCGGAGGCGGCTACGGCGGCGGTGCCGCCGGAGGCCACGGCGGCTACGGTGGAGGCGTTGGCGGCGGCAGCGTCGTCCGAGCACGTCTGGTCGGAGTCGGCGTCCTCCCCTCGGTCGGAGGCGGCTACGGCGGCGGTGCCGCCGGAGGCCACGGCGGCTACGGTGGAGGCGTTGGCGGCGGCAGCGTCGTCCGAGCACGTCTGGTCGGAGTCGGCGTCCTCCCCTCGGTCGGAGGCGGCTACGGCGGCGGTGCCGCCGGAGGCCACGGCGGCTACGGTGGAGGCGTTGGCGGCGGCAGCGTCGTCCGAGCACGTCTGGTCGGAGTCGGCGTCCTCCCCTCGGTCGGAGGCGGCTACGGCGGCGGTGCCGCCGGAGGCCACGGCGGCTACGGTGGAGGCGTTGGCGGCGGCAGCGTCGTCCGAGCACGTCTGGTCGGAGTCGGCGTCCTCCCCTCGGTCGGAGGCGGCTACGGCGGCGGTGCCGCCGGAGGCCACGGCGGCTACGGTGGAGGCGTTGGCGGCGGCAGCGTCGTCCGAGCACGTCTGGTCGGAGTCGGCGTCCTCCCCTCGGTCGGAGGCGGCTACGGCGGCGGTGCCGCCGGAGGCCACGGCGGCTACGGTGGAGGCGTTGGCGGCGGCAGCGTCGTCCGAGCACGTCTGGTCGGAGTCGGCGTCCTCCCCTCGGTCGGAGGCGGCTACGGCGGCGGTGCCGCCGGAGGCCACGGCGGCTACGGTGGAGGCGTTGGCGGCGGCAGCGTCGTCCGAGCACGTCTGGTCGGAGTCGGCGTCCTCCCCTCGGTCGGAGGCGGCTACGGCGGCGGTGCCGCCGGAGGCCACGGCGGCTACGGTGGAGGCGTTGGCGGCGGCAGCGTCGTCCGAGCACGTCTGGTCGGAGTCGGCGTCCTCCCCTCGGTCGGAGGCGGCTACGGCGGCGGTGCCGCCGGAGGCCACGGCGGCTACGGTGGAGGCGTTGGCGGCGGCAGCGTCGTCCGAGCACGTCTGGTCGGAGTCGGCGTCCTCCCCTCGGTCGGAGGCGGCTACGGCGGCGGTGCCGCCGGAGGCCACGGCGGCTACGGTGGAGGCGTTGGCGGCGGCAGCGTCGTCCGAGCACGTCTGGTCGGAGTCGGCGTCCTCCCCTCGGTCGGAGGCGGCTACGGCGGCGGTGCCGCCGGAGGCCACGGCGGCTACGGTGGAGGCGTTGGCGGCGGCAGCGTCGTCCGAGCACGTCTGGTCGGAGTCGGCGTCCTCCCCTCGGTCGGAGGCGGCTACGGCGGCGGTGCCGCCGGAGGCCACGGCGGCTACGGTGGAGGCGTTGGCGGCGGCAGCGTCGTCCGAGCACGTCTGGTCGGAGTCGGCGTCCTCCCCTCGGTCGGAGGCGGCTACGGCGGCGGTGCCGCCGGAGGCCACGGCGGCTACGGTGGAGGCGTTGGCGGCGGCAGCGTCGTCCGAGCACGTCTGGTCGGAGTCGGCGTCCTCCCCTCGGTCGGAGGCGGCTACGGCGGCGGTGCCGCCGGAGGCCACGGCGGCTACGGTGGAGGCGTTGGCGGCGGCAGCGTCGTCCGAGCACGTCTGGTCGGAGTCGGCGTCCTCCCCTCGGTCGGAGGCGGCTACGGCGGCGGTGCCGCCGGAGGCCACGGCGGCTACGGTGGAGGCGTTGGCGGCGGCAGCGTCGTCCGAGCACGTCTGGTCGGAGTCGGCGTCCTCCCCTCGGTCGGAGGCGGCTACGGCGGCGGTGCCGCCGGAGGCCACGGCGGCTACGGTGGAGGCGTTGGCGGCGGCAGCGTCGTCCGAGCACGTCTGGTCGGAGTCGGCGTCCTCCCCTCGGTCGGAGGCGGCTACGGCGGCGGTGCCGCCGGAGGCCACGGCGGCTACGGTGGAGGCGTTGGCGGCGGCAGCGTCGTCCGAGCACGTCTGGTCGGAGTCGGCGTCCTCCCCTCGGTCGGAGGCGGCTACGGCGGCGGTGCCGCCGGAGGCCACGGCGGCTACGGTGGAGGCGTTGGCGGCGGCAGCGTCGTCCGAGCACGTCTGGTCGGAGTCGGCGTCCTCCCCTCGGTCGGAGGCGGCTACGGCGGCGGTGCCGCCGGAGGCCACGGCGGCTACGGTGGAGGCGTTGGCGGCGGCAGCGTCGTCCGAGCACGTCTGGTCGGAGTCGGCGTCCTCCCCTCGGTCGGAGGCGGCTACGGCGGCGGTGCCGCCGGAGGCCACGGCGGCTACGGTGGAGGCGTTGGCGGCGGCAGCGTCGTCCGAGCACGTCTGGTCGGAGTCGGCGTCCTCCCCTCGGTCGGAGGCGGCTACGGCGGCGGTGCCGCCGGAGGCCACGGCGGCTACGGTGGAGGCGTTGGCGGCGGCAGCGTCGTCCGAGCACGTCTGGTCGGAGTCGGCGTCCTCCCCTCGGTCGGAGGCGGCTACGGCGGCGGTGCCGCCGGAGGCCACGGCGGCTACGGTGGAGGCGTTGGCGGCGGCAGCGTCGTCCGAGCACGTCTGGTCGGAGTCGGCGTCCTCCCCTCGGTCGGAGGCGGCTACGGCGGCGGTGCCGCCGGAGGCCACGGCGGCTACGGTGGAGGCGTTGGCGGCGGCAGCGTCGTCCGAGCACGTCTGGTCGGAGTCGGCGTCCTCCCCTCGGTCGGAGGCGGCTACGGCGGCGGTGCCGCCGGAGGCCACGGCGGAGGCGCTGGAGGCTTCATCGGAGGCGGGAGCAGTGTAGGAGGCGGATTCGGAAGCCACGGGTCTTCCGGACACGTCAGCGGAGGATACGGCGGGAAATAAAGACTCAGTTAATGCAGGAATAAATATATTATGATATACTTTTTAAATTTTATTTAGCCAATCTGAAACATTGATTCTTAATTTTATGAAAAAAAGAGAATCGCCACAGTTGCTACTGACAAAATATTTAAGAAATTCGTGATGGTGAAAAAAATAAAACAAAAATTCAATAACATAAAATGATAATAAGAATAAGAAGTAAAATAGTTGTAGTTATAACAATGGTCGTGATTGTGGTGATGGTACAAAAATTAACAATAATAGTAACGCCGAAATTATTGCTTATGATAATGTCAGTTTGTTTTTCTTATATAATTAGAAAACAATGGCACATATTTGCAATTAACATATATTCATTCTTACAAAAGGACATGCAAGGAAAGATCCAAGACTATATTCACTGTCAAAAAAGCTCCAAATTAATAAATATATTTTCTATAGGTAAAATAATATGATAATAAAATAAAGAATAAGATAACATAAAAGTGACTGACAATGAGGAAACTTTCAGCCTAACGTCCAGAACGTATTAACTGGGGCATTAACTATAGTATATGTTTTCGAGGCACAAAGATCCAGAACGCGTGGGGAGCTTCTCTCGTGAGTTGATTTCGTCGGAAAAACAAGAGATGGAAACACACTGTCTGTGAGAACAAGTAGCCGGGATATGGTACATACAAAAACGAATAATGAAGAATGGTAGCTTTTTTTTTTTTTTTTTTTTTTTTTTTTTTGTAAAGAGGGGAGATTAATGAAACCAAAGGCAGATACATGCAAACTTGATGGAGGTGTCAGAAGAGACTGCACATGTTTCCCCCTTTTAATTCTATATCAATACAGAGAGGATGGTGGCAGAAGCACTTGATAATGTCAAGGAAGGTGTACATGTAGACGGTAAATTATTATAAGATTTAGGGTTTGTCCATAACAGGGCAACAAAAGCGGGAAAAGTGTTATAGGGGATAATATACAGGCCAAATGAGGTGTCATATGAATATCATACAAAGGTCAGTGTGAAGATGATCTCTGTAATAAAGAAAATGAGATTCGCCACAGTTGATACTGACAAAATATCAGTGACTGTGATTATAATGATAATAGCAACTCAACTAACAAAATGACATGATCATAGGAATAAGAATTAAAATAATAGTAATGCCACCAAAAGTATTGCTTACGCTAATGCCAAATAGGTTTTCTCGTTTAATTAGAAAAAGGCACACATTTGCTATCAATAGATATTAATTCTTACGAAAGGACATACAAGTAGAGATACTATATTCATTGTAAAAGAAAAAGATGAATATAGTCAAAATGTCAAAATGATAAATATAGTTTCTTTTGAAAAAATGATAATAAATGAAACATAAAATAAAATAAAAGTGACCCACAATAAGAAAACTTGCTACCTAAATTCCAGAACTTATTAACTAGGACATTAACAATGGTGTATGTATATGCTCCTCTACAAATCGAGAGTTATTCCAATACAAGAGGTGGAAAATACAATAATGAAGAATAAGAAATGATGGTATTCGTATTAGAGGGATAAAATGAAAGAAATATATTTATATATATGTAAAGAAATGTCTTTATCTATGTATAGTTTTTTCTATTATTTTATTTATTCTTATTCTTTTTGGACAGGGTGATTTATGTAAAGAAGGGAGATACACTGAAACAGACTGTAGTTGATTAGTGGCTCAGAAGACAAATTTGTGAATAGTGAACGAAACCAGGCAGGGTAATAGACAATTAAAAAAGTGATATTATTGGATATTACATAGGCCAAATAAAGTATCATAGCAATATCATGTAGATTTTTTTTTTTTTTTTTTTTTTTTTTTTTTTTGATCAGACTGAAGGAATTACTAACCAAGAGTGAATTAGGATATAAAGAAACAAATTGTCAAAAACACTGGATTGAAGTGTACTTTTATAATTTTATATGTACCAGATATATGTTCAATGAAAATAGAGTATGATTTTTTTAAAATGTATCGTAGATGTACCCTAAAAGAATGCACACTTTCTTTCATAATTTTTAATCTCTCTCCTTTCCTTTGAAATATTTGATGATGGATATGGAAGTAGGAAAAACAATATAATAATAAAAAAAGCACAGATATATGAACGAATAGGAGTACGTCCGTGTGTATAAGTATGTGAGAGTGTAATACGGAAGGAAAGACGGGGGAGAGGGAGAGAGCGGAGGGAGAGAAAAAACAAACTGGTAACTGCGTGAGCCCTTGTGGGAGGCGAGCTATAAATACTTGGAAGAAGGTACAGAATAATACAGTTTATTTTCTTCCTCTTCGTCTGCAGCAAGAAAGGAAAGTCGTTATGGCTCTGAGTGCTTTGGTAAGCCTTTTGGATTAATGGTGTTTTCACGTATAAAGTGTGTAAAGTGTGATATGTTTAGGTGAGAAACACAAATCCAAGAATGTTTGTTGTATTTCTTGTACTCCATGGAAATGTATTTGCATTCCTAATTTTCAGATCTCTAATTGATTTTTAAGCAATGTATGATATTCTAATGACGCAGATATGCACGTAAGGATTTCTTTATAAGTTCCGGAGTCATATGAAAAAATATGACTGTCATCTTAATAAACGAGTAATAGTAATAAGCTAGTTCTCATAACATGCATGTCTTGATGGCCACATATACCCTATCTATTATATATATATATATATATATATATATATATATATATATATATATATATATATATATATTTAAAGATATGAGTGTTCACGTACTACGAAATTGAAACAGTCGCCCCGTGGTCGGCCTTACCTGATGTATCCCCGACAAATGTTTAAAATTTTACAACTTCCTTCCATGCTTTCCTGTAGATGAAGTCAGCCGTAGTGCTGGGAGTAATATACGGAGCTGTGGCTGACGGAGGCTACGGCTCTCACGGAGGAGGCTTTGGAGGCGGTGCTTCCGGAGGCGTAGGAGGAGGCTTCGGAGGAGGAAGCCACGGTGGCGTTGGAGGAAGCCACGGTGGCGTTGGAGGAGGCCTCGGCGGAGGCAGCTTCATCGGAGGAGGCGGAGGCCACGGCGGCTACGGTGGAGGCGTTGGCGGCGGCAGCGTCGTCCGAGCACGTCTGGTCGGAGTCGGCGTCCTCCCCTCGGTCGGAGGCGGCTACGGGGGCGGTGCCGTCGGAGGCCACGGCGGAGGCGCTGGAGGCTTCATCGGAGGCGGCAGCAGTGTAGGAGGCTCCGTCGGAGGCGGATTCGGAAGCCACGGGTCTTCCGGACACGTCAGCGGAGGATACGGCGGGAAATAAAGGCAGATTCAATTAATGCAGGAATAAATGTTTTATGATATACTTTATGAACTTTAATTTAGTTACCTTGAAATTTGATTCTTGATTTTATGAAAAAAAAAGTCGCCACGGTTGATACTGATAAATTATCTGTTAAGAAATTCGTGATGATGATGATGATAAAAATAATTCAGCTAATATAGTTATATGATAACAATAAGAAATGAAATAACAGTAGTTATAATAATGGTCGTGATTACGATAATGACACAAACATTAATAATAATAATATAGCTTCTTTAAATAAAAGAATATGATAATAACTAAAGCATAGAGTAAAATAAAAGTTACTGCAATAAAAAAGATAAAAAATAAAAAAACTTCCCGACTACGGTCCAGAAAGTATTAACTGGAGCATTAACTGTGGTACAAAAGGCACAAAGACCCAGAACGCGTAGGCGGCTCCCATGCAAATCTTTCAAGCGTCAGTGGAGGATAAGGAGGGAAATAAGTGTACACGAAGAGCAGATTGAATTTATGAGAGAGAGAGAGAATATGAATATTTTATTGGAATAAAGAGAAAGAATGAATATTTTATTGGGAGAGAATTAATATTTTATTGGGAGAGAATGAATGTTTTATTGGAATAAAGAAAGAGAATTAATATTTTACTGGGAGGGAATTAATATTTTATTGGAATAATCGTGTTTCGATTCACTCCAAATTTCCAATTACTACGGATTTCGTTTCTTTGCTTCATGGAAGAGCTTTTGTATATCAAATGACTATTACGAAAGAGTAAGAAACAGATGAGGAAATCATGAGGATTTTGAAGATAACAAGAGTGTTACTACGGTTAAGATAAAATGATAAGGATGGCGACCATGATAATGGCGATTATAGTACTAAAAATTATGTATATGTGTTTGTGTGTGTGTATACAAAAATCAATATATATGAATATATATGCATATATATTTTTTTATATATGGATATATATTTTTTATGTATATAGATGTGTATATAGATGTGTGTGTGTTGCTATGTGTATGTATTTGTGTGTGTGTGTACACGTAAACTTACACACACATATATATGTATGCATAAGGCTTTGGGAGTCCACCCTATACAAAACAACCCACTGCCTTGTGGTATCTATAAGATGAAAAGGCTTCGGGAGTCAACCCTGAGGAAAAAATCGGAGCCAGAGACGCCACAATTGCCAAACCGTATCGGTCTATGCCGTTCCTTTGCATCCATCAGCTGCGTGGAGAGAGAGAGCCTGCTGCATGGACAACAGCTTGCTTCTCACATTAACTTTCGCCAAGACATTGACTCTTTTTATATGGGAGTAGGTAGAAACAATTATGCCATCCATAGTCGACATTGACTAAATTTGTCTGTCGATACACACATACACACACACACACATATATATATATAGATAGATAGATAGATATACATATGTGTGTGTTTGTGATTGTATATGAATTTATGTATATAAACATATATATGTATGTATGTTTACATATATATCAATAGATGAATATATATATATATATATATATATATATATATATATATATATATATATAAATATGCATATATATATATATATATACATATATATATATATATATATATATATATATATATATATATATATATATATATATATATATCTGTGTGTGAGTGTGTGTATGCGTGCGTGTGTGTGTGGGTGGGAGTAGGTGTGTGTGTGTCTGTGTATTTGGGTTGGTGGGTTCGTGAGTTTGTGCATGAGTGTATGTGTACACAGAAAGTGAGAAAGAGAGATCTGAATGTGTATATATTTGTTATATATATAGATATGGATATATATTTTTTATATATGGATATATATTTTTTATATATGGATATATATTTTTTATATATGGATATATATTTTTTATATATGGATATATATTTTTTATATATGGATATATATTTTTTATATATGGATATATATTTTTTATATATGGATATATATTTTTTATATATGGATATATATTTTTTATATATGGATATATATTTTTTATATATGGATATATATTTTTTATATATGGATATATATTTTTTATATATGGATATATATTTTTTATATATGGATATATATTTTTTATATATGGATATATATTTTTTATATATGGATATATATTTTTTATATATGCATATATATTTTTTATATATGGATATATATTTTTTATATATGGATATATATTTTTTATGTATATAGATGTGTATATATGTGTGTGTGTGTGTGTGTGTGTGTGTGTGTGTGTGTGTGTGTGTGTGTGTGTGTGTGTGTGTGTGTGTGTGTGTGTGTGTGTGATATATATATATATATATATATATATATATATATATATATATATATATATATATATACGTACACGCACAAGCACACGCATACACACACTCACACACACACGCATATGTATGTACATACATATATATATTAATTTGTGTTTGTGTGTATGTATGTATGTATATTTGTTTCTTTTAATTTATGCTTTAAACGAATAAGATTGAGAAACTTGATTGCCTTGCCTTTGCACTTGCCAATTTTTACCTGTCATCCTGTTAAACAAAAAATAGAAATGATAGAAAAAAAAGGTGATTACCTTGTCTTTAAAAGCTGTCAAAATTTACCTCGCACCCGGAAGAGAAAAGAAAAAGGAGTGAAATAGAAAAAGCAAAGAGATGAAGGGAGATAAATAGGTGGAATAAAACGAAAGAGGGAAATAGACTGAGAGAAGAGAGATGGGAAAGGAGGAAGTGAATAATAAACAGACTATCAGAGAAAAATCGAGAGGGAGAGAAAAAAAGAGACAGAAGGGGTAGAGATAGACAAAGAATAAAAAAAATAAAAAAAAGAAAGTATTATTTGTTTTCATGTCTCATAAATATTCAGACTTGTCCACTGAATGATTAGGTAGGACTGCAGGGGAAAATAATAACGGACCCTCTCCATTGCAGAGTCATTGAAAGATGTTGCAAAGGGCACCATCTCCCTAGTCCTTCCGAGGGTGTTGCCGGGCACTATAAACAGGTGAACGAGAGCGAGTGATTTTGCATTTCTTCTCGTGCCGTTTTATTTCCAACAGGTGAGAGTGGCCGTCATGGCAGCACGCGATCTGGTTAATGAAAAGGAGAAGTTTTAATTGTATTCTTTTGAAATATTTTCGATAATGGGATTTAATTCTACGCATGGGACTTGTTTAACTATCGAGATGTATATATCTATTCACAAACACATTTAAATATAATACATATAGCATATGCATATATGTATATATATGTATATATATGCATGTGTGCGTGCGCTCTTGCATATGTATTGTTTTTTATTATTCCGAGACATATATTATCATCAACAGTCGTACTTTTTTGCGCATATCATCTATTTGACTTTTTATATCGTATCATTTGAGCTGCCTGCTTTATTGAAGTGTATATTCATTTATGAATAATCTTTTAGTCATGCTGCAACCTTTCTCTCCAGCAAAAAACAACAGATAAATTAAAATCGTTAATAATTAGTTCTCCCTATTGCTGTTTATTTTTTATTTTTTTATTTATTTTTTATTTCTTTATTTATTTATTTTTTTTTTTTTCTTATCAACTTACATGTAATTACTTCTTTAACTTGTTAGTCGTCGTTGCTAATATCAGACGAATATCTGCTGATTTCCCGCAGGTAAAGGCAGCTGTTCGGTGTGTGGAGCTGTGGCTGATGGAAGCTATGCTTCCCGCGGTGGAAGCTTTGGAGGTGGAGCTGTTGGAGGCGGCATCTCCGGAGGAGCAGGAGCTTTCGTAGGAGGAGGTAACTTTATTGGAGGAGGAGGAGGCCATGGCGGCTTCGGCGGCGGCAGAGTTGAAGCAGGTCACCTCGTTGGACACGGTGTGCTCCCTGCAGGCGGCGCTGGCTACTCCGGAAGTGCTGTTGGCGGTCACGGTGGAAGTGCTGGAGGTTTCATCGGAGGTGGAAGCTCTTTCGGAGGCTCCGGTGTGGGAGGTTCCTTCGGAGGTGTCAGCTCAGTAGGAAGCTCAGTAGGAGGCTCTGGTGTGGGAGGTTCCTTCAGTTGTGTATCTTCTGGACGCGCTAGTGGAGGATACGGCCAATAATCAATGAATATATATGTATTTGTATGTTCATGAAGAGAAAACCATTTTTACATTTCATGTGAGACATGAAGGAAGCCAATAAAAAAAAACGTTTTATAAATGTTATTCCACATTTTTTCGTGTGTCCTATCGAGCGCTAATTAGATGAACCCAATTTCGATTCACCTTTATTAATTCCCATGTTGTTTTGTCTTTTCATTCATTAATTAGAACATAAATTAATCATAAATTATAGAACATAAGTTAATCATAGAAAGACCCAATAATGACACAGTAATCTTCCATATGCTTATTTGAGACAAACCAGAAGCTTTTCTTTTCCGTAGCTGTTATAGATTCTTGTTCTAAAGAGTAAATAATAATTTATCAAAAAAAGAAAAAGAAAAAAAAAATCAGATTCATTTTCATTTATTATTCTTTGAAAAGTTCTTACAAATGTCTTCATCTACCATTAAATATATTAGTGCACGAATATAACATATTACTGTACGAAATCTACAGTTGATATACGTAACCCCTTTAGAGAAAGCGGAATAACAAATCAGTCACACTATTAGGTGTATTAACTGGTAAAACGTGAAACACATGGTCAAAGCGAGAACGCCCCTGGGTTAGGTGACAGGAAATAACAAAGGATAAAAGAGGATTCATGTGATTATACTCTATGTATATGTACGTAAGGGATAAAAATAATTACATATAGATATAACTACAGATACAAAGAAATCTCACGCACGCACACACACATATACATACACACACATATATATGTATATATAGCCTATATATATATATATACATATATATGTACTTATATATATGTATATACGTATGCATATATATATATATATATATATATATATATATATATATATATATATATATACATATATATATATATATATATATATATATATACATATATATATGCGTGTGTGTGTGTGTGTGTGTGTATACATGTACACACACACACACACACACACACACACACACACACACACACATATATATATATATATATATATATATATATATATATATATATATATATATATATATATGCATATACATATACACATATATGTGTATACATATATGTGCCTGTATATATACGTATATATATATATATATATATATATATATATATATATATATATATCAAACATATTGTAAGTATACATTATGCATCCTGTATGAATGTATTTAAGTATGTTTATATACATATATATATATATATATATATATATATATATATATATATATATATATATATATGCATGCATGCATATATGTGTATATGTATATATGTATAAGCATATATATGCGTGTGTGTGTTTATGAATATATATATATATATATATTTATATATATATATATATATATATATATATATATATATATATATATATACATATATATATATATATATATATATATATATATATATATACATATATATGAATGTATATGTATATGTATATTTATATAGACATATATATGTGTATACATACATATACATACATATGTATATCTGTATATAAATTTCATACACACTCACATATTCATATATATATATATATATATATATATATATATATATATATATATATATATATAAATTTATGCACACACATGTGAATATTTCAGATTCTTTTTTTGCCTGTTTCTTTGTTTGTTTCTTTATTTCAAATGGGAATTTCTGAAATCACGAATGCCATTAATTCTTTTGAGTTTCATAGAATTGGATATTGCTTTGATGTAAGTCTATCTTTAATGCATTACAATAGTAATACATTTACTGATATGTACCATTATATAGACATATATGTACATATACATATATATGTGTATATATATATATGTATCACATATACGTGTGTGAATAAGAAATATATATATACTTCACACACTATCGTGTATGTAAATGCATGATCTGTAAATTAATTGAAAAGAGAATAAATGTACAATGTACCTAATTATATCGAGGATATATATCAATATGTATATGTGTGCCTTATATTTACATGACAAAATCCACTCTATCTTGATTAAAAGCAACTATTTTTTTCCTCACACGGAATACAAAGAGGAAAAAATAAGATGGCCTTTGCCAGCTTACTCCACGGGGCACTTGGCACCTCACGCGGCCTTGCGGAAGGAGCGGCTATCCTAGTATAAATATTCCAGAGTCGACAATAATCTCTACACACTTCTATTGTTCTCCAAGGAAGCGACTAAGGAAATTAAGATGGCAGGTCCTCTGGTACGTGAACTACTGTGTGTAGACCTGCACAGCCTAATAATATTTTTTGCATGCTATTGCAATACTTTCAAGAGAAGGATTATTCGTAAAGCTATACAGTAATTTCCATGCCTTTATGCCTAGAGTGGTATTAGTTATTCACTATTACATGTATATAGTAAAAAGACAAAGTTCTTCCTATTAAGAGTTTTAATTTATATTCTTACTGTTATTGTTCATACCCTTTATAATTATAGAAAAAAAATGTATATGCATTTATAGATGTATATATCTTTTCAATTGTACATGTATTTACAATCGAGGACTTCCTGCAGGTAAAAGCAGCTGTCCTGCTTGGAGTAGTGTGTGGAGCTGTGGCTGATAGAAGCTATGCTTCCCGCGGTGGAAGCTTTGGAGGTGGAGCTGTTGGAGGCGGCATCTCCGGAGGAGCAGGAGCTTTCGTAGGAGGAGGCAACTTTATTGGAGGAGGAGGAGCAGGTGTTGGGGGAGGCAGCTTCATCGGAGTAGGAGGAGGCCATGGCGGCTTCGGCGGCGGCAGAGTTGAAGCAGGCCGCCTCGTTGGACACGGTGTGCTCCCTGCAGGCGGCGCCGGCTACTCCGGAGGTGCTGTCGGAGGTCACGGTGGAAGTGCTGGAGGTTTCATCGGAGGTGGAAGCTCTTTCGGAGGCTCCGGTGTGGGAGGTTCCTTCGGAGGTGTCAGCTCAGTAGGAAGCTCTTTCGGAGGATCTGGTGTTGGAGGTTCCTTCGGAGGCCCCGCTGGCGGAGTATCTTCCGGACACGTTAGTGGAGGATACGGCCGATAACCGCAGTCTTTAAGAATAGGGAAAGAAATAACGTATAAACGAATAAATATCGTCCTATGATTTACTAAGTATCATTCCCCATATATCCTATTACTGAGTCTGTTTAAAGGAATTCATTTACAGATAACACTACAGTTAAATCAGTCTATTACAATACAAAACCTAATTATACAGTGGATAAAAGCTTTGTGATATCATCAGTAATAATGTAATAATCTATGGCAAACACTGAATCATCCTAATTTGTAAAAGAAATGGAGACAATAACGTCTGAAGCTCCCCATTCTCTAAATAAATAGATAAATAGGAAAGTAAATCTTTATATGCCTTTATTCTCTCCTTCCTCCTTTTTCAACCACACTGGTAATAAAAAAAGAAGCTTGAACCTAAATAGCAACGTAAACTTTAATATTACTTCTGAAGGTTATCAGTGAGAAATTGCTATTCAGTGATGATAAACAAGCCTTCTAGGTTTTCTTTTCGCTGGGGGGGGGGTCGTCGGTAAATATTAGAATAAGAGAAACGTCTCTAAGAAGACTCTTTGGTGTCAGGAAGTACAGTATTCACAAGGCTTCGAAGCTGATGATTGCATGCATGAAGTTGAATGAAAACGTAAAGAATACAGATGGTCGCTTCTTACATGCGTTCAGAATCCTAAGGATCATAGGAAAGACCTTGCTTCACGATGAGGATGCTGATGTTGCTGACGACGTATACATAGGTATAGAGATAAATATACTTATAGACATATTATTTATGTATATGTAAATATATAGACATAAATATATATGTATGTATAGATATTTATGTATATATAAACATATATATGAATCTATATAAATATATATCTACAGATATGTGTATGTATATATATATATATATATATATATATATATATATATATATATAAGTGTGTGTGTGTGTGTGTTTACATATATATTTTCCATTATATATATATACACAAACACCTTTATATTCTGGTACACACACTTATATATAAGTATATATATATTATTTTTTTTCTCTCTTCTTCTTTTCTAAATATATATGTATGTATATAATGATATATCTAAATATACATATTACTTTTATACATAAGTATATATATACATATATGCATATATACATGTGTGTGTATGCTTGCGTATCTATATGTATATGTATATGTGTGTGTGTGTGTATGTGTATATATATATGTGTGTGTGTGTGTATGTGTATATATATATATGTGTGTGTGTGTTGGTGTGTGTATATGTGTGTGCCTGCATATATATGTTGTACAGAGAAATATATGTGTATGTATATATATATGTGTGTGTGTGTGTGTGTGTGTGTGTGTGTGTGTATGCGAATATATATATACATATATATATGCATATATATACATATATATGTGTATGTATATATGAATGTATGTGCGTACATGAATATGTATATGTACATGTATATATGTGTGTGTTTGTATGTATTTTGTTTTCAAATATACATATAATTATATATAAACATACATAAACATACACACATACACTAACACACACACATATATACATATATATACATGTATATATATACATATATATATGCATATATATACATATATATATGCATATATATACATATATATATGCATATATATACATATATATATGCATATATATACATATATATATGCATATATATACATATATATGTGTATGTATATATGAATGTATGTGCGTACATGAATATGTATATGTACATGTATATATGTGTGTGTTTGTATGTATTTTGTTTTCAAATATACATATAATTATATATAAACATACATAAACATACACACATACACTAACACACACACATATATACATATATATATGCATATATATACATATATATATGCATATATATACATATATATATGCATATATATACATATATATATGCATATATATACATATATATATGCATATATATACATATATATGTGTATGTATATATGAATGTATGTGCGTACATGAATATGTATATGTACATGTATATATGTGTGTGTGTGTGTGTGTGTGTGTGTGTGTATGTGTATATATATATGTGTGTGTGTGTTGGTGTGTGTATATGTGTGTGCCTGCATATATATGTTGTACAGAGAAATATATGTGTATGTATATATGAATGTATGTGCGTACATGAATATGTATATGTACATGTATATATGTGTGTGTGTGTGTATGTGTATATATATATGTGTGTGTGTGTGTATGTGTATAGTTATAGATATGAATATATATTTACAATACCCACAAATATATGTCTATATGTAAATATATATATGTATGTCTATATGTAAATATATATATGTATGTCTATATGTATGTATATACCTATAGATATATCTTATATATAGTACACATATATATATAAACATTATATATGTGTGTATAGATATCTAAATAAATATATGCATACATATATGTAAATCATAGGTCGTAAGAGAATCGTTATTATTAAAACACATAATAAACATCATAGTATAATATGATCAATAGTTTTGTGAATGATGATATACTAAAATCAATTACTTTCGCGTGCGTGGTTCAATTATTATCTAATAAAGCAGTCTGTATGTCTGTGTGCTTGTGCGTTTCTCTCAACTACTCAGTCTATCCATATTTCTCCTTCGCTAAAAGAGAAATTATATGCATAGATATGAATAGATAGATCTACTGTAAATTCAGATCCATCTCCCTATCTCTGTGCTATATATAATCAAATACTAATCTATCATTTAAGCAGATACTTCCTATGTTGAATAAAAAGAGGAAAAGATTAGGTGGCATTTCCCAGTCAGTGGGGCATCAACACAAGGCACTTGGCACCTCAAGCGGCCTTGCTGAAGGAGCGATCGACCAAGTATAAATAGTACCGAGTCAACATACAGCGTTACACTTCTTTTCCTACTGTCTCCACTGAGCAATAGAGGAAACTTACAATGGCAGGTCCTCTGGTACGTGAACTACTGTGTACACATAGTTACAATAGATATTGTAACTATAAATGGTGTTTCACTGATTTGAATGCAAGGTTTTCGAGAGAATAAAATCTTGTAAAACATATCAGCAAAATTCAAGCCGAGCGATGAGTTAATAGTTTTCCAATATTACATGTAGTACTAATCCTATTAACAGGGGCTTTATTGTTACTGTCCCTGTTATATGTATTTACGATCTTTAACTATACAGTGCCGTGTGATATGCACGTGAATAAAATGTCCCTGATTTCTTGCAGGTAAAGGCAGCTGTTCTGCTGGGACTGGTGTGTGGAGCTGTGGCTGATGGAAGCTATGCTTCCCGCGGTGGAAGCTTTGGAGGTGGCATCTCCGGAGGAGCAGGAGGTTTCGTAGGAGGAGGCAACTTTATTGGAGGAGGAGGAGGAGGTGTTGGGGGAGGCAACTTCATCGGAGGAGGCGGAGGCCATGGCGGCTTCGGCGGCGGCAGAGTTGAAGCAGGTCACCTCGTTGGACACGGTGTGCTCCCTGCAGGCGGCGCCGGCTACTCCGGAGGTGCTGTTGGCGGTCACGGTGGAAGTGCTGGAGGCTTCATCGGTGGTGGAAGCTCTTTTGGAGGCTCCGGTGTGGGAGGTTCCTTCGGAGGTGTCAGCTCAGTAGGAAGCTCTTTCGGAGGATCTGGTGTTGGAGGTTCCTTCGGAGGCCCTGTTGGCGGTGTATCTTCTGGACACGTTAGTGGAGGATACGGCCGATAACTATACTCCTACAAAAATAGGGATAGAAATAATACAAACTAATAAATATCGTCCTATGATTTGTTATGTATCATTCCCCATATTTCCTATAATTACTGAATATGAAATGAAATTACTTGATCACAGCTATTTCAGTCTATCAAAATTTAAAACCTAATCAAATAGTAGGTGAAACCTGTGTGGATAAGAGCTCTACCATCGTTATGTAATGGACTATGGGAAAAGTTTTTTATTAGAGCTTGTACCTAAATATCGAAATTAATATCTTGTCTGAAGGTTATCAGTGAGACACTGCGACTCGCCGATGATAAATCCTTTTATTTTTTATTTTCCCTAAGGTGGGGGGGGGGGGAGCTCCGTCTGTAAATTTTGGAATGAGTGAAACGTTTCCAAGATATTTTCTTTGGTGTTGGGAAAGACACTGCTCACGCAGCTTCGAAGCTGATATTTGCATGAATGAAGTTGATGAATGAAAACGTAGGGAATACATTGATCGCTTCTTACATGAGGATCATAGGAGAGAGGCCTTGATTCACCAGAGGATGCATGGTGAATGAGGATAAGGATGCTGCTGTTACTGACATACATATGTATACATATAGCTATACATATAGACATACATACGCACACACATATATATATGTACATAATAATTTACAATTCAATGTATATACACAGACATGTATGTACTGGTATACATACATAGCTGCATATGCATCCATTTATCTATGTATATTTACATATATATGTGTGTGTGTGTGTGTCTGTGTGTATGTATGTAGATATGTATGTATGTATGTATACTAATATATATGTATATATAAACATGTATATATATAATGTATATACATATATGTATATATATGTTTAGATATGTTGGTGCATATGTGTGTGTATGTATACATATAATATATACATATATAGAGAAAAACATATGTGTACGGGTATATATATGCATATGCATATTATATAGGTAAATGCATGTAACGGTGTATATATGTGTGTATATGTGTGTGTGTGTGTTTGTGTGTGTGTGTGTGTGTGTGTGATGAAAAGAATATATATGAATATGTATATATACATACAAATGTATATTCATATATTAATATACATTTATATATACACACACAATGGTATGTATGTATGTACATAAATATACGTATTTATATATTGGTGTATGTATTATATATATACATGAACATGAATATGTATTCATATATGAATATATACATATATATTTATACATATATATACATATATATTTATACATATATATACATATATATTTATACATATATATACATATATATTTATACATATATATACATATATGCTTATGAAAATAAAAAAAATACATAAGTACGTACGTATAAAGATATATGGATATATACATATATGTGGGTATATATATATACATACATATATATGAAAATATATAAATATACATATATACATATATATACAAATGCATATATGTATATATACATACGCATATATTATGCATATATGTATACAAATATTACATATATGTATATATGTTTACATATATATACAGATGGATATAAGCATACACACATGTACATAAATCATAGGTAGTAAGAGAATACTTATCATTAAAACACATCATATATATATAAATAGACAGATAGATCAGTAGTTTGTGAATGCTTGTACACTGTAATTCATTCCCTATTTCTGTGTTATAATCAAATCCTAATCTATCATTTACACAAATACTTCCTACGTTGCATAAAAAGAGGAAAATATTAAGTGGCATTTTCTAGTCGGGGGGGGAGGGGTATCAACACGGCGAACTTGGCACCTCAAGCGGCCTTGCTGAACGAGCGATCGACCAAGTATAAATAGTACCGAGTCAGCATATAGCGTTACACTTCTTTTCCTACTGTCTCCACTGAGCAATAGAGGAAACTTACAATGGCAGGTCCTCTGGTATGTGAACTACTGCGTACACATAGTTACAATAGACATTGTAACTATAAGTGGTGTTTCACTGATTTGAATGCATCGTTTTCTAGAAAATAGATCATATACGCATTCATAGATATGCATGCATGGCCGGGCCATAGCCGAAGACCCGGGCGAAGCTAGAACTTCGCAAATCGCCGCTCCTATTATTCATGCGAATAAAATATCCCCGACTTCTTGCAGGTAAAGACGGCTGTTCTGCTGGCAGTGGTGTGTGGAGCTGTGGCTGATGGAAGCTATGCTTCCCGCGGTGGAAGCTTTGGAGGTGGAGCTGTTGGAGGTGGCATCTCCGGAGGAGCAGGAGGTTTCGTAGGAGGAGGCAACTTCATTGGAGGAGGAGGAGCAGGTGTTGGGGGAGGCAGCTTCATCGGAGGAGGCGGAGGTCATGGCGGCTTCGGCGGCGGCAGAGTTGAAGCAGGTCACCTCGTTGGACACGGTGTGCTCCCTGCAGGCGGCGCCGGCTACTCCGGAGGTGCTGTCGGAGGCCACGGTGGAAGTGCTGGAGGTTTCATCGGAGGTGGAAGCTCTTTCGGAGGCTCCTTCGGAGGTTCCTTCGGAGGTGTCAGTTCAGTAGGAAGCTCTTTTGGAGGATCTGGTGTTGGAGGTTCCTTCGGAGGCACTGTTGGCGGTGTATCTTCTGGACACGTTAGTGGAGGATACGGCCGATAACTATACTCTTATAAAATAGGAATAGAAATAATACAAACGAATAAATATCGTCCTATGATTTGTTATGTATCATTCCCCATATTTCCTATCATTACTCACTATGAAATTAAATTATTTGATAGTTATTTCAGTCTATCACAATTCAAAACCTAATTAAATAGTGATTGAATCCTGTGTGATGTCGTCAATATTAGCTCTACCATCGATATGTAATGGACTATGGGAAAAAAATATTCATTAGAGCTTGCACCTAAATATCGAAATTAATATCTTGTCTGAATGTTCTCATTAATACACTGCGATTCACCGATGATTAAAAAAAAAAAAAGAAAAAAAAAATCTTTTCCTTGAGGGCGGGGGCGACGTTTCCAAGAAGACATTTTCTTTGGTGTTGGGAAAGACATTGTTCTCGAAGCTTCGAAGCTGATAATTGCATGAATGAAGTTGAATGAAAACGTAGAGAATACATTGATCGCTTCTTACATGTATTCAGAATCCTGGGGATCATAAGAGAGAGGCCTTGATTCACCAGAGAATGCGTGGTGAACGAGGATAAGGATGCTGCTGTTACTGACATATACATATGTATACATATAGACATACATACGCACATATATGTATATATGCATATACATTTACCATTCAGTGTATGTGTACGTATATATACAGACACATGTATGTATTGGTATACATACATACCTGCATATACATACAATTATGTATGTAAATTAATATATATATGTTTGAATATATATATATATGTATGTATACTAATATATGTATAGAAACCTATGTGTGTGTATATATATATATATATATATATATATATATATATATATATGTATATATATGTGTGTCAGGGCGTATATATATGTATATATAATATATATACATATATATGTATATGTTTGTATGTGTTATTGCGTGCGTGCGTGTGTATGTATATACACATAATATATATAGAGAGAGAGATATGTGTACCAGTATATATATGAATATGTATTTTTATATCATATACATAGGTAAATACCAGTAACGGTGTGTATATGTATTTATATATGTATGTATGTATGTATATATATATATATATATATATATATATATATATATATATACATATATATATATGTATGTATGTAATAAACAGAATGTATATAAACATGAGTATATACATACACATGTATATCTATATATAAATATACATATATATATACACATCGGTATGTAGATATTTATATGAATATATATATATGTATTTATATGTAGATTTAGGTATTAAATACATATACATATGTATACATATATGAATATATATACATATATATGTATATATATACATATATGCCTATGAATATAAAATATACATGTGTACTTATGTATAAATATACATAGATATATACATATATGTGGGTATACATATATATATATATATATATATATATATATATATATATTTATATATATATATACACACACATATATATATGATGTACATATCCATATATACATGTGTATATATGTATATATACATATACATACATTATGCATTATATGTATATGTTTACATATATATACAAATGGATATATGTATACACACATATATTTTAATCAGAGGTAGTAAGAGAATATTTATTAAGATATATAGGTTAGTTGATTTGTGAATATCAACATGCTATAATTAATTACTTTTGCGTGCGTGTCTCGATTATCGTCAAATAAAGCAGCCGATTAGTGTGTGCTCGTGTGTCTCTCCCTCTCAGACTATCCATATTTCTCTTTCGCTAAAAGAGAGATCATATGATTAGAAGTGTATAAATAGATCTACTGTAAATCCAGATCCTTCTCCTTATCTCTGTGCTATATATAATCAAATCCTGTTCTATAATCTAAACAGATACTTCCTATGTTGAGTAAAACGAGAAAAAGATTAGACAGCTTTTTCCAGTCTGTGGGGTGCCACCACAGGGCACTTGGCACCTCAAGCGGCCTTGTTGAAGGAGCGATCGACCGAGTATAAATAGTGCCGAGTCAGCATACAGCGTTACTCTTCTTTTCCTACTGTCTCCACTGAGCAATAGAGGAAACTTACAATGGCAGGTCCTTTGGTACGTGAACTACTGTAATTATGAATAGTTACAATCGACATTGTAACTATAAGTGCTGTGTCACTGAATTGAATGCAACAGGAGATGAATTCTTGTAAAATTAATCAACAAAATTTCATGTCCCTGTCTTCTTGCAGGTAAAGGCAGCTATTCTGCTGGGAGTGGTGTATGGAGCTGTGGCTGATAGAAGCTATGCTTCCCGCGGTGGAAGCTTTGGAGGTGGAGCTGTTGGAGGCGGCGTCTCCGGAGGAGCAGGAGGTTTCGTAGGTGGAGGCAACTTTATTGGAGGAGGAGGAGCAGGTGTTGGGGGAGGTAGCTTCATCGGAGGAGGAGGAGGCCATGGCGGCTTCGGCGGCGGCAGAGTTGAAGCAGGTCACCTCGTTGGACACGGTGTGCTCCCTGCAGGCGGCGCCGGCTTCTCCGGAGGTGCTGTCGGAGGCCACGGTGGAAGTGCTGGAGGTTTCATCGGAGGTGGAAGCTCTTTCGGAGGCTCCGGTGTGGGAGGTTCCTTCGGAGGTGTCAGCTCAGTAGGAAGCTCTTTCGGAGGATCTGGTGTTGGAGGTTCCTTCGGAGGCCCCGTTGGTGGTGTATCTTCTGGACACGTTAGTGGAGGATACGGCCGATAACTATACTCTTATAAAAATAGGGATAGAAATAACACAAGCGAATAAATATCGTCCTATGATTTGTTATGTATCATTCCCCTTATTTCCTATAATTAGTGATTATGAAATGAAATAACTTGATTACACTTATTTCAATCTATCACAATTCAAAACCTAATTATTAGCTGAAAGCTAATATATAATAGCTCTACCATCGGTACATGATGGACTATGGGAAAAGTTATTCATTAGGGCTTGTACCTAAATATCGAAATTTAACATCTTGTCTGAAGGTTATCAGTGAAATACTGCGATTGACCGATGATAAACAACCCTCTCTTTTATTTTTATTTTTTTTTCCGGGGGGGGAGGGGGGTCCGTCAGTAAATTTTGGAATGATTGAAACGTTTTCAAAATATTTTCTTTGGTGTTGCGAAAGACATTACTCACAATGCTTCGAAGGTAATCATTGCATGAACGAAGTTGATGAATGGAAACGTAGGGAATACATTGACCACTTCCTACATGTACTCAGAATCCTGGGATCATAAGAGAGAGGCCTTGATTCACCAGAGAATGCGTGGTGAACGAGGATAAGGATGCTTCTGTTACTGACATATATATATGTATACTTATAGCTATACATATAGACATGATATACATACGCAAATATATATATATATATATATATATATATATATATATATATATATATATATATATATTTATATATATATATATATATATATATATATATATATATATATATATATACATATGAATTTGCCATTCAATGTATGCATACGTATGAATATCCAGACACATGTAAGTACTTGTATATATGCATATATGTATATATATATACGTTTGGTTAATATATGTGTTCGTATACGTATATGAATATGCATGCATGTATATTACTATATATGTATATATAAATATGTGCATGTGTGTATATATATATGTATTTATATATAATATATATACACATATATGTATATATATTACATATATACATATAATACAATATATACATATGTATATACATATACATATATATACGTATATGTTTGTATGTGTTGGTGTGTGGGTGTGTATTTATATATATATACATATAATATATATAGAGAGAGATATGAACCGGCATTTATATGTACATATATGTATATTGCATATATAGGTAAACATATGTATTGGTGTGTATATATATATGTGTATAAATGTATATGTATGTACATGTATGATATATATATATATATATATATATATATATATATATATATATATATACATATAGATATATGTATGTATATCTGTGTAATAAAAATAATTTATAAAGGAATATGTATATATACACATGTATATTTATGTATAAATATGCATGTATATATATGTATATATATAAATATGCATATATATATATATGTATATATCTATATATATATATATATATATATATATATATATATATATGTATATATCTATATATCTATAAATATATCGGTATGTATATATGTATATGAATACATGAATATATATATTTATATATAGGTGTGTGTGCATTATATATATGTTTATACATATATATGAATATATATAAATATAAGAATATATATACATATATGAATATATATACATATATATTCATATACACATATGTGTATGTGAATATAGAAATATGTATATATATATTTATAGATATATATGGATATATCCATATGTATGCGAATATACATATACATACATATGTGAATATATGTACATATGCACATATGCATATGCCTATATATACATCCACATGTAGTATACAGATATGTATACAAATTACAAATATGTATATATGTTTACATTTATATAAATATGGATATAAGCATACACACATGTATATATATCATAGGTGGTAAGAGAATACTTATCATTTAAACACATCATATATATAGATCAGTAGTTTTGTGAATGTTTATATACCGTAATTTATTACTTTCGCGTGTGTGGCTCAATTATCGTCAAATAAAGCAGTCGATAGGTGTGTGTGCTCGTGTGTCTTCTTCTCAGACTATCCATATTTCACTTTCGCTGAAAGAGATCAAATGCATAAATGTGTAAAGACAGATTTACTATAAATCCAGATCCTCCTCCCTATTTTTGTGTTATAATCAACTCCTAATCAATCATTTGCACAAATACTTCCTACGTTGCATAAAAAGAGGAAAAGATTATGTGGCATTTTCCAGTCTGGGGGGGGGGGTACCAGCACGGCGAACTTGGCACCTCAAGCGGCCTTGCTGAACGAGCGATCGACCAAGTATAAATAGTACCGAGTCATCATACAGCGTTACACTTCTTTTCCTACTGTCTCCACTGAGCAATAGAGAAAACTTACAATGGCAGGTCCTCTGGTACGTGAACTACTGTGTACAAATAGTTGCAATAGACATTATTACTATAAGTGGTGCTTCACTGATTTGAATGCAACGTTTTCGAGAGAATAAAATCTTATAAAACGTGTCAGCAAAGCTAAGGCCGAGTGCAATTAATTAATATTTCTCCATTATTACATGTAGTACTAATCCTATTAACAGGGTCTTTATTGTTACTGTTCCTGTTATATATTTTACACTCTTTAACTATACAGTGCCGCGTGTGTGTGTATACATACTCATAGATATGCACACGAATAATATATCCCTGTCTTTCTGCAGGTAAAGGCAGCTGTTCTGCTGGGAGTGGTGTGTGGAGCTGTGGCTGATGGAAGCTATGCATCCCGCGGTGGAAGCTTTGGAGGTGGAGCTGTTGGAGGCGGCATCTCCGGAGGAGCAGGAGGTTTCGTAGGAGGAGGCAACTTTATTGGAGGAGGAGGAGCAGGTGTTGGGGGAGGCAGCTTCATCGGAGGAGGCGGAGGCCATGGCGGCTTCGGCGGCGGCAGAGTTGAAGCAGGTCACCTCGTTGGACACGGTGTGCTCCCTGCAGGCGGCGCCGGCTACTCCGGAGGTGCTGTCGGAGGCCACGGTGGAAGTGCTGGAGGTTTCATCGGAGGTGGAAGCTCTTTCGGAGGCTCCGGTGTGGGAGGTTCCTTCGGAGGTGTCAGCTCTGTAGGAAGCTCTTTTGGAGGTTCCTTCGGAGGCCACGCTAGCGGTGTATCTTCTGGACACGTTAGTGGAGGATACGGCCGATAACTATACTCTTATAAAAATAGGGATAGAAATAACACAAGCGAATAAATATCGTCCTATGATTTGTTATGTATCATTCCCCATATTTCCTATCATTACTCACTATGAAATGAAATTACTTCAGTACAGTTATTTCTGTCTTTCACAATTCAAAACCTAATTAAATAGTGAGTGAATCCTGTGTGACGCCGTCAATAATAGCTCTTCCATCTATATGTAATGTACTATGTGAAAAAGTTATTCACTAGAGCTTGCACCCAAATATCGAAATTAATATTTTGTCTAAAGATATTAATTTGTTATCAGTGAGACACCGATTCACCGATGATAAGCAACCATTTTATTTTTACATATAAAGGTGTTCATATATGTATATATATGTATATGTATGTGTGTAATAAACAGAATATATATGGATATGTATATATGCATACACATATAAATTTATATATAAATATACACATTTATAAACATATCAGTATGTATGCATATAACTATATGTACTTATATATAGGTGGATTAAATATACATATACATATACATGAATATGTATTCATATATGGATATATATATATATATATATATATATATATATATATATATATATATATATATTTATATATATACATACATGCTTATGAATATAGAATATGCATATGTACTTATGTATAAATAAATATGGATATATATATATATATATATGGGTATATATATACATATATATGAATATATATACATATATATACATATATATACATATGCATATATGTGGCTGATGGAAGCTATGCTTCCCGCGGTGGAAGCTTTGGAGGTGGAGCTGTTGGAGGCAGCATCACCGGAGGAGCAGGAGGTTTCGTAGGAGGAGGCAACTTTATTGGAGGAGGAGGAGCAGGAGGTTTCGTAGGAGGAGGCAACTTTATTGGAGGAGGAGGAGCAGGTGTTGGGGGAGGCCATGGCGGTTTCGGCGGCGGCAGAGTTGAAGCAGGTCATCTCGTTGGACACGGTGTACTCCCTGCAGGCGGCGCCGGCTACTCCGGAGAAGCTGTTGGAGGTCATGGCGGAAGCGCTGGAAGTTTTATCGGAGGTGTCAGCTCAGCAGGAAGCTCTTTCGGAGGCTCTAGTGTTGGACTTTCCTTCGGATGCCCTGTTGGCGGAGTATCCTCCGGACGCGTTAATGGAGGATACGGCCGATAACCTTACCCTTATAAAAATAGGGATAGAAATAACGCAAAGACGAATAAATTTAGATCTATGATTTGTTATGTATCATTCCCTATATATCCTATTATTGCTGAATCAGTTTTAAGAAATCCAATCCTAAATGACACTACTTGATGACATATATTTCTATCACATTTCAAAACCTAAATCTGTAACGGAAGAAAGGTGTGTCATATCATATACATTAGGTTCATCATCGTTACCAAACATCCTTTGAAAAATAGTGATACATCTTAATTTGTAAAGATTTGGAGACAATAACGTCTGAACCACATAATTCGCACAAAAAAAAAATAAGAAAATAAATCTTTTCCCTTCCTTTTTTCACGATTACTTTTTAAAAGGTGCTCAAATAGGACCGCAACTTTAACATTCCGTCTGAAGATTATCAGTGATAAATAACTCTAACATTTCCTCTTTCTTGAAATAAATATAATATATATATATATATATATATATATATATATATATATATATATATATATATATATATATATATATATATATATATATATATATATATATATATATATATATATATATATATACACACACACTTATATGTATATATATATGTGTGTGTATAAATGTATGTATGCAAATATATCTATATATACCTACAAACAC